CAACGGATCAACATCATGGCACACGGATAGTAACCCATAAGTGCTCCGTTCTTCTTCTAACTCAAGTCTGAGTCTGAAGAAGCTCAGCACAGTGCACAGGCTCTGTAGCACCGGCGAGGATCCTGAAATACTTTGGGTAGATTTTTAACTAAAAATTTTACTCCGGCATCGTCGTTATGCTACTCTTTTGGATTTCCAACTGCTAATGGATTTTTTACATGAGCAACAATGCACACGGGCGACAGATCTCACTACCCAGAGATCAGGGGGAATTACTAGAAGTCAAAGTCCACGTGAAAAGATTGCAGCCCTTACCGGGGATTGAGCCTAGAACCTCCAGTACTCGAGGCGGACACCATGCCTTGAGACCACGCTGTCTAGATGATTATACATAATCCACATCATTGACGATTCTAACACATGACTTTTAGGTGGGCTTGCGAGCGTGCTGGCTACTATGTTACTATGACATCCAGTGCAACCATATTCAGTCTGTAAATGTAACATCGGCCAGCACCATCTTTATATATGTTATGATACAGAGATCTTTCGTAAACAATAAATGTTTGTTGTTATAGTCTCGATTTTATTCCATAAAGTGACAAATCAATCTAAACGAAAGGTCTAACTATAATAGTCAGCTTCCTAAACATCACAATCACCACTGACAGTTGAACGTTTTGGCTAGAACGTCTCCATTAGCTTACACCATATGCGTATAATTATACAACTACATAAAAAAATACATAAATTCATAAAAGTAAGTTAGCTTTTTGATGAGTTAGTATTTGCGCAGTAATAGGAGCAAAAAGGTCTTAGTCCTAGTGGAGGGTTCAATATCGCTGCAATCGGGTTTCCCCATACTTGCTCCGTTCCTGTGCCAGTGCAAATCACATGAAATTTTTTTCACTGTTGCATTTGAAAAACTTGTGAACAAACAATTATCCACGGAACAATCTAGAAATATGCGCACACAGCAAATGCACATTTCAGTTGTACTAACAAAAGTAAAAAAAAAAAAAAAGAAAAGGCTTTCTTACGAATGTACGAAAACAAGAGTCTTACGACGAATCTTTGGACCCATCAAAGACGCAAACAGCTGGAAATGGAGAGTGAGAAGCAAAAACGAAATTCATAATCTGTTTAAATCACCACTGATCACTGGCATCATGAGAGCTAATAAACTGAAATGGCTGGGTGTATTGATAGAATGTCAGATGAATGCCCGTAGACCACGAGGCAGACCAAGAAGACTATGCAAAGATAATATCCAGACAGACCAACAAACACTTGGTGTTACAAGCTGGAAACAGAAGGCCAGACAGAGAGATGAATGGAGTGGGAGATATCTGCAGCAGGGAGCCTCAAGGCTTCGGAATGCTGAAGAAGAATAACAGTAGTTTACATGACTATGCACAACCAACCCCAGCATTTTCTGGCTATTGTGGTTTTTTAAGGCAAATTTTACGTTCATTAGTTTGCCATTGCTGTATGAATGGTACGACCTCAGTACTACTGTCGAAACCAAAGTAAGGCGGTCTGCTGCCAAATCACACCCAGCTATGATCGAAGCCGGCACCCTGGCGTTACTAAGCACGTTCGCAACGCCTAAGCCACGGACGCTTTTCGATAAAGCCTGTAAAAATATCAACAAACGCTGAGGGGGAAAAAACGCAACGGAAGAATATATGAACAGTGAACGACTGTATTAATGACTAATTCCTACTGATGTTTGTACAATCATAGGGCCTACAGCTTCAGTACTCTATCTCACGACCAAAATTGAAGAAAGCTCACGTGGCCTGGTCATTCTGCGTGATGAGATTGCCCATAAGGCACGGGGATCAGTGGATTTTATTGAAAGAGACGGAGTCCGTGTTCAGCGATGTGTCTGTGAAGGCAAACCACGGCAATAATGTGGCTGGTGTAACTGTTCTAGAGAAGGTCATGTCTCGGTTTGTTGATGTCGACCCTTGTGTCTATAAAGATGAATCGGTTAGTTCGACGTTAGTCTCCCCAGACCTACATACACTAGTTTACCTCTGATTAGTAGTTCCTGAGCAACGTGACCTTCGCACACGTTTACGGGGGTGTTCCGCAATGCCCTTGATATGGCCTGTTGTATATTTCAGCACGCTGGCGCTTTTAACACTCCAAAAACATTGAAAAATTGGGTCTAACACAACACCCTCCACCCAGAAAGTGCTGCAACCTATGTACCAGAAATTCTTTTTCGTGAAATGAAAACGTAAATACAAGACATCGCAGAAACCAAACAGCAGAGCAGGACACACACGTAACCTTAAGGAAAGTCGACCAATCCAACAAACCCGTAAATGAAAAGCGACCTACTCTCCTTGAGGAGATTAACGTCGAACTAACCGATGAATCAATTAGTTTCTCTGCTATGTTCTACTGCGGCTTATAGTGGAAGAAGGGGGTTGTAAAAAATTGAAAGGTAAAGTATCGTGCGTGGCGATTCAGAAGAATTAGCTCAGGGCCATTACCCCCTCTCGTAGTAATTTTTTTAGCTGTGAAACTAATTCGGTTCTTTATTAATATCCTACCCCAAATGACGTCACAGGACAGTCCAATATTTTAGAGGGTGGTGAGACTGGGTTTCCCGGCTTTCTGATGCTTTTAACGACCCCAAAACATTCCGAACTGGCCCTAACTCCAAGTCACATACGTCCCGTGAGAGAGTGCAGCATAGGTTCCAAGAATGCATGCTGCCTAGGTCCCACGACTGTATGCAGCCTATCTACCACCCCCTGAAATATTAGACTGTCCCGTGACCTGTGGATTTTCCCAGTTTGGGGTAGGATATTAATAAAACACCACTAATTCCAACTAATCTTGAAAAAGATAAATATTTTTCTCAAAGTTGAAACAAAAATATTATGCATTGAGCATCGGGCAAATGATGGTTGACATATTTTAAAAAAAAAATCTAGTCCAGTGATGGATGCCATAGTTAACATTATGTGGGCCGCCATCACTCCCCATGACAATTCTCTGTACTTTTTTAAGGCTGGGAAGCGGATTGTTATGCTCTAGGTACTCCTAAACAGACTGAAGCCGTAAACAGGACAAATTGTAACGGAGGAACAGGAGGTATTCCGCGCTGGAAAAAGCAAGGTTCAACCGGTATTTAGCCTACGGTGTTTGTCGGAAACTACTGGGCGTAAATTTGACTAGAAAAGCCACAATAGCCAATGCTGGGGTTGGTTCTGCAAAGTCCTGTAAAGGATACGCATCTAAAAGAAAGATATTGTTGCAACAATACCAACAGCACCAAATGCATATGTACCATGTGTTCAGTGATTTCAAAAATGTCTTTTACATTTAATAGTTAAGTGGTTTACAGTTAAGCCGCATCAGCTGCGCCTGTCGGTCCAAAACATCTGATTTTGGCAAAGCTTAAATCAGACACCTTTACGACATGCTTTATAAAAAAAGTTTCCCGTCCTGTAATGAATCTCATTTTCTCTTAGATAATTTATGCCTAGACAGAATGACGTCAGTAATAAATGTGAGTGGAATATTTTGAGTCTGGGACAACACGGGAATTACTGATAGTCTAACTTAACGGGAATTGTAGAGAAATGCTGATAGTCAAATTTCACGTGAATTATAATTATTCACGTGTAGAGAAATGCTGACAGTCAAACTTCATGTGAAGTATGATTATTCACGGGGGTCACACAAACTCATGAAATGTAATCAATGAAGAGTTACCTGATGTTATAGAGGAAGATATTCCAACACTATCAACGAATAATGAAGTCAACTGGAAATCGATAAAACTGAATCAAGAACTATCAGAAAATGAAAAAGTAAAATTGTTGGGCATCATCTTTCGTTACAAAGATATTTTTACAAATAAACCTGGAAAAACCAATATAATAAATTACGATATCCAGTTGAACTCATCAGTACCAGTGAAATCTATACCATGTGTAGTACCTATTCATTATGTGGACAAGGTTATATCAGAATTGCAACAACTACAACAAGAAGGAATCATTGAAGATTCCACATCAAATTATAGTTCACCTTTAGTGGTAGTAAAGAAAACAGATGGATCACTACGTTTTTGTGTTGATTACAGAAAACTAAACCAAATTACCTATTTAGAAACCGAGCCCATCCCTTCTTCAGATGAAATCATACAAGAATTATATAACTCAATTTAAAAAAAAAAAAATTGACCTTTCAAAAGGGTATTGGCAAATACCACTAACACCTAAAGCTGTGAAATATACTAGCTTTGTAAATTGATATTATTATTTTCTGCAAGTGTACACATACTAGATGAATGTAGTGTTATTGAATGAATGTATTATGTGAATTTACAACTTAGGAATATATATATATATATATATATTTGGTTTAATCAGGTATAATAGAGTAAACAATTAAAATTAAAGGGAGACAATAGTCGGGTTGAAAATACACCTCACCAGAAAATATGTCAACATTTATTGGTGTACTAAATCGAACTTATGTAACATTGAATTTGAATATGTGTGTTAATGAGACATGTGGTGGTTTCTGAAGACAAGATAATTAACTAAATCTTGTACCTTACATATTTGGGAACATGACCATACATTGCTGATCTGGCCATTGCTGGAGGCTTTCATGAATGGGAATAGCGAGGGTGGAACTTCATGGCGTCACACTTAGGTTTTAGAGCCAAGATTTTGGACCTCCGCACCAATCGGGAGGGGGGGGGGGGGGTGTGCCTGGAGAGGAGTTCGGTTGTATACCGACTTTAGAACTGGATGGGGATACATATGGAGCCAGATTTTTTGGTCTTCCGCACTAAACCGGGAGTGCCTGGAGTGAGGATCCCGTTAAGGTATTCACAATCGGGGAAAGACCTAACAGATGGCATTTTGGATTGTTTGAATTGTAAACTCAATGAGAAAAGGGAACTTGGTTGGAAATGAACTTGTCGAAAATGATTCACTACAAAGGTCTAACATTATCATATT